ATCAAAATTATGATGACGATTGGTGGATTGAAATTTTGGGATAGTTTATGGGATAGCTCTGCAAATGGTGTAGGTAATTATGATGATTGTTTGGTTTTAGTTTTTGTTTGAAGAGGCACCCGATACCTCAGCGACATGTTGTGTAGTGAGCAGTAATTATGGGATAGCTATTAATGCCGATGATTGCTGTTTCTTTATTTGTTTATTTTTGCTATTGTTTGAGAAAACACACGTTACCTTAGAAAATTTACACCCTCGGATCGAATCAGGGGATAGCTCCTTGAGATAGTTATTAGCCCCGAGAATGCTTTTTTTAATTTTGTTTTTGCTTTTGTTTGAGCAAACGCACGTTATCTCAGAAACATCCATAACGATGGATCGAATTCAGGGGATAGCACTGTTAGATAGGTATTTACGCCGATGAACTTGTTTTGAGGATTGGGACGTTCATAATTTTGTTTGTGTAAATACACGTTACGCTAATAACATGCTTAAAAAGGATAGGAAACTATGAAAAAGCTTCATTGGAATACCTTTCAGCGCCAATTATATTTAGGTGGAGTTGTACACGTTTAATAACTTAAAAACAAGTTGAGTGGATCGACTTTATGGGATAGCATTAAAGCCCTACTGCACTACTTACAGCTACTTGCGCCCTCTATATAGCAAACAATGCCTAATCTGTGACTGTTGGTCCCCCATGGTCCCCTTTTTCTTATGTTAATTGACAGCTGATTTGATAGGATAACTACCTGTCAGTGACCACGCAGGGATGTCTAATCCCTCCTGGCCAAACTAGTGCAGATAGGCTTGAAGGGATAGATATTTATAGCATGGACAATTTGTGTTGTTAAAGGTGCCATAGAAACAAGCTGATTAAATTGATAGGTATGACATAAGAAAAACAAACCGACCGTTATGCACTGTCAGACAATCGGATATTGACCTTAATTACATTACCTTAATGAATATAGCAGGCAGGAAAAAAGGTCTGAATATTTCATGAAAACATGCATAATTGAATTCTAATTTATTTATTTATTCTTCACTCATGGGATGGATTGCCCTTGTCAGCTATAAGCTGTTTTTCTATCGACCTTGTTGTGCAGTGAACAGAAATAATGAGTCACGCTTTGATGCTCCAGCGTTTAATAGTAGGATAACGGTTGACCTGTTTGTTCCCGAACCTTAGTATTTTCAAAGGTTCATAAAATTGAGGGAAAAAAACAACACCAGTAAGCTCATGAATCCGAAAATTTTATAACGGTTAAATTTTGACATTTATTACATTATTCTGAAGGTTTATTTTTCCAACATTTTAAATATTTTACCTTTTTATGCGCGCGCTCCGTCACCAGAAGCATTCACAATTCCCCTAAAACTCACCTACCCCGAAACTAATGGGGAGGGGAGGGGGAGGGGGTCTGTTTTGGTGCATAATTATATTGTACATAATTGTAGCTAGTATCAGAGTGGGCACGTACGAATTAAGCTAGCTAATACCTGCAGATATAAGATCAAATAAAATAAAGACACCCGATACCTTAGCAACATGTTGTGTAGTGAACAGAAATAATGGGATAGCTTTTAACGCCGATGATTGTTGTTTCTTTGTTTATGCTATTGTTTGAGAAAACGCACGTTATCTCAGAAAACATTATACCTTTCGATCGAATCAGGGGATATCTCCTTAAGAAAGTTATTAGCCCCAATAATATTTTGTAAAAAATATGTTTTGCTTTTATTTGAGAAAACGCACGTTATCTTAAAGGCACACTGTCGTACTTGTAGCTACTTGCTCCCTCTATATAGAAAACTTCCCCAATCGGTGCCTGTTGGTCCCCCATGATCCTCTTTTTCTTATGTTAATTGAGAGCTGAATTAATAAGATAGCCACCTGTCACAGTGACCTTGCTGGGTAGCTGGGTGGTCTAATCCATTCTGGCTGAACTCGTACAGCCGGCCTTTAATGGGAACATCCAATTTTGAATCGAATTTAGGGGAGCTCTGTTAGATAGGTATTCGCGCCGATGAACTTGTTTTGAGGATTGGTATGTACATAATTTTATTTGTGAAAATGCATGTCACCATAATAACATGCTAAATGTGGATAACAACATTATGATGTAGCTTCCTTGGAATACCCATCAGTGCTACTGATTTTTTTTAGAGGGGTAGGTTGTATTTTGTTTCTTTGGGAATACACATGTTACCTTAGAAACAAATTGAGTTGATCGAAATTATGGGGTAGCATTAAGGGATAGATATTTATAGCATTGATCATTTTTGTTGTTAAAATGCCCGTTACGATAGAAACAAGCTGATTAAATTGATAATATTGATACAAGAAAAAAGGAACACGACCGTTATGCACAATCAGACAATTTGATATCGAGCCTCATCACATTATCAGCCCTGGTTAAACATAAATAAAGCGTCACACGTTATGCTCTCGCTTTGAGAGAATTATTTATGGCATCGGTTTCTCCCGAAGGTTTGTCATTTCAAAGGTTCGTTTATTCGAATTATCAGAATGAAATGTGGTTCGCTATACTCGACGTTTGCAATTGTGAAAATGAAAATTTATCTCTTCTTTTCAGAAGTGAGAACCCTATTTCATCTTTCGAATTGATTGATTGGAGTGGGGGACCGGGATTAAGACCTATGTGAAGATTATTTTGTATACAACGTTATAAATTATGTAAAATTTTCTTTATGAGAGAAATGAATAAAAACCTATGAAAACAAAAAAAGTGATATCGCCACACAGACTTGACTTCACAACACTTCATAGTACATTAAACTAAAGATAAAATGAAAAGCCTGGAATAACCTTACACTTATTTCTCTGGTCTTATCGAAAAACTAATTTTACACAAAAGAATAAATGGATCACTTAGTAAAGGACCTGTTTCACATCTTTGTATTTGATCAGACAATGAATTAAACAATAAATTAACGTCGTCGTGCGTTGACTGTTGTGCAGGTACAACTAATACCGAACTGGAAATCAACATTTGCTTAATCCATAGGGGCTAGTGTTAGTGAAAAGGACATTTGCACGTACAATATTAACACCAGCCATAAGGGTCGGTTCGGCAGACGACAATTATGCAAAATTGATAACAATAGCTACCGGAAGTTGACGATATTCAGAGGTCAATGCCTTAACACCAGCTGATTTCCATTTCGGTGTTTAGTGTTAGTGTTTATTAAACATTATAGCACCAGCCATAAACACCTAACTTGAAATCACTCAATGTCGAGCTTCATCACATTACCTTCATGAACGTTTCCGGCATGAAAAAAGTCTGAATATTTAAAGAATACATGTATAATTGAATTACAATAATGAGTCACGCTTGGATGCTCTTGCTTTGGTAGGATAATGGATGACATCTTTCTCGCTCTCTCTCTATCGCTCTTTCTCTCTCTCTCTCTCTCTCTCTCCCTCTCTCTCTCTCTCTCTCTCTCTCTCTCTTTCACACGCACACACACACACAACACACACGCGAACAATCTCTCACCATCTCTCTTTCTCTTATATTCTCTCTCTCTCCTTTCCTCTACTCACCTCCATCCCTCCCCCTCTCACACCCTAAAATGTGTGTACTTTCATGTTTAAGTGCAGCTTTGAATACGCTTTCTCCCTTCTCTTTATTTCCTAATATGATGTTTACCAACACCAGGCGCGTACGGAGGATTTTTCAAGGGGGGGGGGGGGGTTTAACATTTATAAATCGGGCCGAAAATTTCGCAACGACTCAGCCAGCCGCTGAATAAGCGGGGGGGGGGGGGGGGTAAGAGGACACTTTTTTTTTTGGGGGGGGGGGGTCTCGAAATTTGAAAATTTGACATTTTGCTCCGTTGGGGGGGGGGGGGGGGGGGGGTAAGAGGACACTTTTTTTTTTTGGGGGGGGGGGGTCTCGAAATTTGAAAATTTGACATTTTGCTCCGTTGGGGGGGGGGTAAGGTCACCCTTTTTTAGGTCAACTATGGGAGTATTTTTTTTTTTTTTTTTTTTTTTTAATAATTAAAAAAAAAAAAAAAAAAAAAAAAAATCCAAAGGGGGGGGGGGGGGGGGGGGGTTTTAGGGGGGTTTTGGGGGGGGTTTACACACATAAAAATACCAAAAGGGGGGGGGGGTTAACCCCCAACCCCCCCCCCCCCCCTGCGTACGCGCCTGACCAACACCTCTCTTCGACTTTTAACTTTCTTCTCTCAGACATATTCGATTTTCTCAACAAACAAACACATGCCTCACTTTTCTCCAACCTATTCTCACTCTGAGAAACGCATCTTTAAATAATTACGTAATTCTACATCATTATCTCTCTCTCTCTCTCTCTCTTTCTCTCTCTCTCTTTCTCTCACACATTATTTGGTCTCTCCTACCTCTCTCTTTCTCCCTGGCTCACCTATATTTCTCTCTCATTCTTCATCTATCCTCCCTTCCTCCCCTCTCCTCCCCCTCCATCTCTCTCTCTTCACTCTCTTTTGTCTCCCTACATCTCTATGTTACTATTTTCTTCCTGTCTCACCCTTTTCTTCTTCTCCTCTTCCCTTCCCACTCCCTGCACTCTTTATATACCTCCTTTTATAAAAAAAATCTTTGCATAATTTTACCTAATATTATAGATAAATAGATATAAATATTGAAATATAAAACGAGTTTCCAAGAAAATTTTGATTTCTTATCAAAATCTATTTTATTGAATCGATACCTTTCAAATATTTCAACATATATATTAAATTTTGATGTTTTTCACAAAACAATGAATGAAAGTGATATGATATGATTTTTTTCAAGGGAATTTTTACAGGGTTTGATGCAATCAAACCCAGTCCCCCAGTCCCCTCCGGGATCGCCGCCCCTGCCGGTACAATTCAGTATCCCCACCATGAAAAGTATCGCTGATACTAAATTCATAAAGAAAGGTATCGTTTCAGACATGTCGTGTTCCAGACACTGCCTAAAATTTAAGAAAACATTTTAAAAAAAATAACGAGTAATTTCATGTAAATCAAGTAAATAGATATAAACAACTTCTATCAACGGACATGATGATTTACAGCATCTATATGGCGCCATATGTCGGATAAAAACCCTTCATAGGCTAGGCTCATCCGATTAGGAAAGTTTTGAGGTATACGAGATGGCTAAAATTGCGAGTTTTTATTTTTGAGTAAAGTGGGGGCTATCAAAAGAAATTAAAACAGTTTGATAAACGACGACCATTATTTGAATTTCTATCTGATCAAGTTAATTTTATTCAATTTCCGACCCTAGCTATCATGAACCAGAACAATTTCCAATACCAAGCTTTTTTGCGACTTTATGCAGGCGTTTCTTGACATAATCGTAGAATGCGTAGTCATACTTCATCCGTTGTTTTAAAATGGAGTATGTTTTCGGAGAAGGCAGTTTCTTGTAGTTTGTTTTCGATTTCTCCATCGAATGTTCTGTAAATGAAGAGACAGAGAGAGGAAAGAGAGAGAGAGAGAGAGAGAGAGAGAGAGAGAGAGAGAGAGAGAGATAATGTGTTTCCTTGTTACCAAGCTTTAAAATATATAAATATTTCTGATGTTACAATGTATTGTGTGGAGGTCATATCTTAAGCTATCTTTTTTTCTGGGTTATAGCTTACCCCTAAAGGGATAGTTGAGTTTTGTTGCATAGGGCGCTACTCAAAATATTTTTTGTGAGATAAAGAAAAACTGAGTGTCAAATTTTAAAGAACATAATATTTTATGTTCGATCAAAATCGGTTCAGAGACGGCTAAAATATAACGATTTATAATACTTGTGTACCACCACAAATATTAGATATTTTGAAAAATTTGAAAAAACCGTTGAAAAAAAACGAAATAACGCCCTTTACGCCGTATTTCAGCAAATGCCGATGTTGGCTTTTCTGTTGGCATTTTCGTGTTGTTTATATTACGCACAACCAGCTTGCCCATGTATTGTTATATTTAATTTAAAAATTAATTAACGGTCACCGTATTTTTTTTTTTTAAGTGGAGCTGAATTGGTATGATCGTATTGGCTAAATTTCACTCATTTTGGGGTCTAAAATTACCTTCATAGCATTTTTAGGTTCTAAAAGGGCAATGGAAATGTCATAGATAAGAATTAGGGCAATAACCATGCACTTTGAAGGCTTTTGCGGTCTGAAAACAGAACTCAACTATCTCTTTAAATAAGGGAATAAAACGGGCATGACATGTGCAATATTCTGATTTCCATGGATTATTTATCAATCAGTGAGTTCTCGGCCTTTGCTATTGCTTGTATTTTCCAGAGCATTTTATCACTTTAGCTTCCTTCCATTTCAACATTCAAGGAAATAACTTACCTTTGTTCTCTTCGTAGATTTTCGCTGCTCCTCCAAATGTTTCTGGCAATAGCTTTTCAAAGACGGCCATAGAGAGATCATACTCTTCCATCACTCCGATCACTAAAAACTTGTCTACGTTGCGTTTGGCTTCTTCCAAAGCAAAGGAGGGATACTCACTGTAAACACAAGGAATATATTGCATTCATTAGTGATGACCGTTGCGCACATGACGTCACTTCACTGGCGCAAGAAAGCGTCAGCGAATGGCGCAAGAATGCGTCAGCGAATGGAGTGGTCTTTGACGCAGTATGTGAGAGTCAGATCGTACAAAAGATGATTGCATAATGAACTTTGCAAACTTTTAATGAATTACTGGCGGATGGGTTAATGACATTCACGTAGTCGATTAGCGCAGGTAATAGCGCAAATGGCGTTAGTCAATCTAGCTTTTGATATACAGGCAAGCTGTAAAACAAATATCTAACCTATTAGTGGCAAAGCATGGGCCCAGCCATATAGGGTCACTGGCATCTTGGAGGCAACGGTCCTATTACTAATATGTGAATAACATGTGAACGAACAATCCCATCGATTAGATATAGCGCATGGGAGAGGGCCCCATCATCTTTATCACATTGTGGTCAGGTTCCTTTCCAATTTCCCCTTTCTTTGTCTCTTTCTCGTACCTCTTATTTTAACCACTGGTCGATGGGGGGGGGGGGGAATCGGGGGATTGCCCACCATGCTCATTTCGCTACGCTACTGTTGAATCTTGAATATTAAACGGGGTCACCCCAGAGTTCTGTAGGTCACCCCAGTAGATCTACAGCCCACGAGACCAAGAAATCAAGGGGATACGGCAGATATACAGAAAAGAAGAAAATCTATGGGACGGACAAAACGGAGAAATGCACAGGGGAATATAAAAAGAGGCCGGTCTCGTGTGCGGTATAGCCAAATTAAGCTCAGTATATTATTGCTGTAGTTTATGTACCTGCATCTTGGATCATAACCACAGAATGATGTGACATACATGTTACGCAACAAGCTTGACGTGCAGTCTCCTCGGTCTTTCTCTATACAGTCATCTAATGTCTGTAAAGATAATGAAGATATGAAAAAAAAGAGAAATGTATATGAATTGTAGGTGGGTATTTTTAGGGTTACACCATGTCACTCTTGTTTAGGAATACAAACCTCTAAAAAGGTTGGTGAGTTGGTGAGTTGTTTGGTTCTCGACGTTTCGTAGGCAATAAATGGCCTCCACTGGGGCGATGTGCTATACTATGCATTCTCCTGCAAACAATCAGAGCATACTGTTCGAAACTTCGAGAAGAAAACAACTTTCAGCGGAGCACACCAGCTCTTTGTACGACTCTTATTCCTCTTCAAGAATCACATTATAGTAACCCTGAAAACTGTACGTACAATCAGGGACAGGGGCGGCGATTTCTTTTCATGACCTCATGACCGGGGCCCGGGGGGGGGGGGGCGTAATGCGAGGAACAAGGGAGGAGGGACGTAATGAGCAAACGCGTTTTTTTTTTTTTTTTTTTTTTTTGGGGGGGGGGGGGGGGGGGAAGGGAGAAGAACAAAGATTCGCATCAACACCGCTCTTACATGTTACATGCAGGCCCCGCGGAACGTTTTTCAAAGTGGGAGTGGGGGGGGGGCTAAAGTATTTGCGATCAAATTAGAAATAAACCACGTTTGAATGTTATTGGGGTGGGAACTGCCCCAAGCCCGAGTGAGTGAGCATCGTGAATAGATCGAAGGGGTGAAGGTGACGAAAGTGACTACCCCTCACAGGTTTTGAAGTTTTTTGTCTTACAAAATTATATTCCTTAGCAAAACTATAGTATGAAAACAAACAATTTACTTTTTCACACTTTTCTACAATATTTACTTGTACATTTTGAAGGATATTATGCGAGGGAGCATAGCTTCCGAGCCAGAAGATTTTTGCATTTTATTCGTCTAAACGCTGCACTCTTGGGCCCTCCAAAGCCTAATAGTGTGTTGCAGTCTTTAGTCAGTATTTGCTGTACATTATTTGTTTGCATTTTTTCAAATTTGTCGGGGGGGGGACGATCCCCCCCCCCCCTACAAAAATCGAGGGGGGACGTCTCCCCCAGTCCCCTCCGGGATCGCCGCCCCTGCCGGTACAATTCAGTATCCCCACCATGAAAAGTATCGCTGATACTAAATTCATAAAGAAAGGTATCGTTTCAGACACTGTTCAACCGACAATAACATACCGATTGTCTGGAATGTAGTTATTCTTCCTCATAGCCTATAGTGATATGCTGAAATTGTATTTCGCGGTATACTCATGCAAAATAAAGGTTCTACCAAACTGCTAGTCGTGAATTGCATCATACAGGTCTTCATGATGTAAGTATAGATAATTGATGCAAATATATTCACCCTTCCAATAGAAAATAATTATGATTGATAAGCTATTGGCCCTTCAGGGCGAAAAGAGTGTTTGTGTTTGTTTATGTGTCGCTACTGAGTATATTCATGGCTTGAGTATGAGTAGCGGCCTCTTGACTCGTGTCGTTTGAAACCTATTTACATTTGCTGCACTCGACCGAAGTGTAAGTGGGTTTCGACTTTCGACTAAAATAAACTATGGCCCGATTTCGATTGCAGGACCTGAAGCTGGGGTAATACTACTAATACTAAAACTACTACTACTACTACTACTACTACTACTACTACTACCACTACTACTACTACTACTACTACTACTACTACCACTACTACTACTACTACTACTACTACTACTACTACTACTACTACTACTACTACTACTACCACCACCACCACTACTACTACTACTACTACTACTACTACCACCACCACCACTACTACTACTACTACTACTACTACTACCACCACTACTACTACTACTACTACTACTACTACTATTACTACCACTACCACCACTACTACTACTACTACTTCTAATAATATTACTACCACTACCACTACTACTACTACTACTACTACTACTTCTACTACTACTACCAATGATCATAATAATAATCAAAATAATAATAACAATAGTAGTGATAAAAATAATAATGACAATAATTATTATGATGAACACAATAATAATAACAATAACAATGAAACATGTGGAAATGATGTAACAATGTTTGTTTTTACCGATATATCTCAACATGCACTTTATTCAAATGTACTGCTTTGTTCTTGCTCAACAATGATTGAATACATTTTTCTTTGGAAGAAAAAAAATGATAATAATGATAATAAAAATAATAATATTTACAATAATAATAAGGAAAAGTAATTACCTCGTTAGGCAGAGCCATTCCTGGACTTAGTCTTTTTAAGACGAATTCTTTGCTCATATCTTGATCACCGTTTCGCATGAAGTAAAAATGAGACTCGAATCGGTCGACGGGATCACGGAGCATGCTCACCAGGATGGGTCTCTTGGGTGAACTGAAGTAGAGATAGAAAGGAAATATAATTAAAGCATCCAATGACCTGACCTGGGGATGTTTCACAAAGATCCCGAATCGAACTTAAAGAGAAGGTTGAGTTCTGGGAAGAGGTGAAAAATAATTTGTGAACTTTATCATTCTTATTATGCAAGTGTGGAAGAACATCAGATAAGACATGTTCCCTGAAAAGCATGGCTCTTCAAACGCCTTCATATTCTAAATATGTCATGTAAATCGTAAAACTCGGGGGGTAGGTTTTTTACGCCACGTGTTCGTGTAGTCCCACATACATCTTTCTGTGTACAGTGTTTGTAACTTTACCAAGACTTGGCCAAATTTCTTATCATTTTGATGATTCCAGAACCTTGCAATACACACAAATTCTTATATGCTAGATGATCAACCTTTTCTGGTCGATTCCACACCGTTTCTTTCACAATGCAATCGCATGACCAGAACTCAACTTCATCTTTAACTCTTAGTTGGACTTAAACGTTATAGATAGACATTTGTAGCTTTAAAATAAAATAAATTTTTAAAAAAAGCAAAATTTCAAGTATTTTAGACTTTTCATAAATTCCACATCAAGAACATGAAATCTCGTTGATAATAGAAAATATGAATCATTTGAATCAACATTTAAAGCCTTTTTAAATAACTTTTAAAGATTTTCAAAGATGCTAACGGCTTTCCATAATTGTTAAGTCCAACTTAGAGATAAGTTCAATTTAGGATCTTTGTGAACCAGGGAAACAATAATCTCGCAAACATAGCGATTTTATGCTCTCATATATAAGACCAAACAAAAATTGCGACAAACTCCAACTTAAAACTATATAGTAGCGAAATTCAAATAGCGAGTTAGATCGCTATAGTTGGCGCTCTCCTACTAGTAGTGGCAAAATTCAAATAGCGAGTTAGATCGCTACGGCTGCTGCGCTCTTTTATATAAGAGCGAAATTCAAATAGCGAATTTTATCGCTACAGTTCGCTACTATATAGTTATTAGTAAGAGTTTGTCGCAACAAATTTCTGCTCTTATATATATATATAAGAGCACAAAATCACTATGTTTGCGAGAGAGTACACTGTAAAAAAGAATTTGTTCATTGGTAATTTTTACGTATTTTTTCCATGTAGAATTTACTTGAAAACATTAGTTTTGCCACTTACGCACTAAATTTAAGTCTTGCTAACTCAAACTTTCAATTTAGTAGAACATACGTGAAATATTTAAGTAAAATCAAATACATAAGAACTTTAAGTAATTTCAGCTTGTATTAATTTAGTATTTTTAACTCAAAATCACTAATTATACGTATTACTCAAACAATTTGTTGATTATTCTTATCTTTTTAAAGTAAGGACCGATGCAGTGCGTAATAGAAATATTTACATAATTTAAGAATATTCATTAGGACCAAATTAAACTCTGTTTTAAATAAAACAATTCTTTTTTGTGGTTGAATGAAAATTTAAGGACTTTAAAACATTTACTAATTCATTTAACATGGCTAAGCAAAGACAAGACAATTTTTAATTGTTACCCAGTTCAAAACAAATCAAAACTTGATATTTCAGGAAATTGTCAACCAATTTTTCTTTTAAGATGGTACGATCAAGTATATAAAATTTGGAGCCTTTCTATATGTGTCGAATTGAAGCGTATGTAATAGTTTGTGATGGTGGTAGATATATATATATATATATATATATATACGGTTAAATCTTAAATAGAAGTAGTGTTAGTGATTAGTGATTAATCTTAAATAGAAGTATTGAATGATTAGTGGATGTTACTTGTTAGATTAGATGGGTACCAAATCGTGCATTATGTAAACCTATCATAGCTTTTTTTAATTATCTAAAATGATTACAATACTTAAACTATTTACGTTAATGTAACTCGATTTAACTGAGTAAAAATGTATTCAGCAAAATAAGTAAATTCTACTTAAGATGCCGTAGGTAATATTTACTTAATAAAAATAAGGCAATTCTTTTCCTCAATTTTATTGAGTTATTTCGAATATTATTTTATTACAGTGTAAAGTCCCGAAGACAAGCCTTTTTTGATATAGTGTGGGCGGGTCTGTTTTGTTGCCTTCAGAATAAAATAACCTTCCATCAACTGCAAAGCGTCTAAGAGTGAACTTATTGGCCTTTCTTTCATAAGAAAGCATTCTTAAAATCTCAATCGAATTCGTTATTCTAAAATATCATACTAAATATGGAACAGTGCCTCGTCTCGGGGTAAATAACGAAGAAAGGGCCAGCACTTTGATCTGAAAACCTGTCCCGCGAAATTTCGCCTGTGATAATGTCTGTACGAGATATAGATCTGAACTGTTTTTTCAGAGTTATACGGAGTATTACTCACCCATACATGTCAATGTAGCGGTAGTGACCGTGTATTATAGCACCCTTCTCGGCTTTCTGTAATGTTGTGTCCATAAGATTCCTCTGCAAGTGAACAATAATCAACACAACATTCAAAACCCAACCCAAATCATTAAGTCAAATTACCCAGGCATTACTTGTCAACATCTTTGTTTCTGATATACCCAAAGGGGGATGCATGCAGTATTCCTATATGCAGACGACATCACACTGGGATTTAAAAAATACTCCTTCGAAGCAATCGAGACATCACTGGAGAAGGACAGTAGCATGCTAGCTGAGTTCTTCAACATATGGCATCTCAAAATGAGCATACCTAAGACTGGATCTTCCGTCTTCCATCTTGCAAACTGATGCGCCAACCGAGAGTTGAATATCTCACTAAACTGGGTCTAGGCTGAATTTCGACCCCGCACTCGATATACCTATAGGTGTCACTCTTGATCGGAGCTTCACCTTCCACGAGCATGCCAAAGCCACAGCCCAAAAGACCAAAGCCAAAGTGTCTCTCCTACTCTCCTAAAGAAGCTTGCTGGAACCGGATGGGGAGCTGATTTCACCACCCTTCGCACCTCAAGAAGCCCCCTCCACCTTACCCACCAGGGGGGTGTTTCACAAAGATCCTAAGTTGAACTTATCTCTAAGTTGGACTTAACAATTATGGAAAGCCATTAGCATCCTTGAAAATATTTTTTAGAAGTTATTTATAAAGGCATAAAATGTTGATTCAAATCATTCATATTTTCTATTATCTTAGGAGATTTCATGTGCTTGATATGGAATGTATGAAAAGTCTAAAATACTTGAATTTTGCTTTTGGATGTATTTCATTATAAGGCTACAAATGGCTCTCCATAATATTTAAGTCCAACTTGGAGTTAAGTTCGACTTAGGATCTCCGTGAAACACCCCCTGGATAGCAAAACGCTGTTCAGACATATGGAATTCGTCTACTAACAACTTGAAGGAGTTCATCCCAGAGCCCTGTGCAAAACCAACAAGCCTGGGTCAACTTCAACCGTATCAAAACTGGAGATGGCCGTAAACAAAATTTCCTGCATAAAATTGGAGCTGATCCATCGCCAACCTGTGCCTGTGGAGGAATCCAAACTATGGATCGCGTCATCGATCCTAGTCCTATCTACAAATTCCCTCACAGTGCTGCTGGACTTCGAGAGCTCGCTGATGAGACAATCAGTTGGCTAAATAAGGATATTCCTATTAAGACGATGCACTCTTTGATATTCTTCGTACGAACGAAGTCAAATGTATGGAACCCACTTCCAGCTTTTGTCATTATTGTGAAGACAACTTTATCTTTTGCAAGAAACTTCAAAAGTTCCCTTTATTTGGCTAAAGAACATGGACAGTGTTGCCTCAACTAGTATTTTGAAATATTGCTTAAAGCTAATCTTGAGCTCTGGTAAGGAAATCGTATGTCAAGAAAACATGGTTATAATTCATTTTAGATTGTTTATCCTGCAGTAGATTGATTGTTTGAACGAGTAAATTAAAACAAAAACTTGCTGGAAATTAACTTTAAAAAAACACTCTCATTTGCACATGGTGACCTGTGTTACGCACATGGTGTCGGGCGTACTTGACTTGATCTCTTTATCTTTCTATGCTAATAACTCAACCCCTATACATTTTCTACCAGAATCGTTTTGCACATGTCATTTATTTTGAACATTCAGGGTTTACAAGCTTTGTTGGATTCTGTGAGAATTTATTATCTATCATTACCAGAACTCAAGCTTATCTTTAAGTAGCCCAAACAAGTAATGCAACGTGGCAGAGGTTCGTTACTGCAAGGAAAATACGCTTTGCAAGGGTATTCATTTACAATAAGGGAGTTTACAGATAGCACATGGTACAAATGACCCCAAATATCCACAGATCTTTTACACATGGAGAAGTTCCCCTTTGAGCATCTTAGAATAATACTGCCAAAGTCCTAGATGTGCTTCATGAATACCTTTTGTTTGCCCTCTTGAAAAGAATACTTCCACCTGCGTATCTTGGAATGTACCGTTGGTGCATAAATAAATAATGTTACATAACTTTCATGAGCGCATATCCAGTATTCATCTCTGTGGGTTTTACCTTTTTGGTACAAATTACCTTTATCTGCTCATGCTCAGACTGCAACCGTAAACTGGCTTATAACTCTGCGTCTTACTATTTTCAATGATATGCATCAACAAATAACAATAGAAACTTGTTCAAAATAACTGTTCTTCTTCTTCAGAAGGAATGATTAGGTCTCACGATTTGCAAGAGTGAGTGAATACAAACACATGCAGGAGTGTTTCTGAAAGGTGTATTCTTTTACACGTTCTTTTACACGTTCTTTTACACGTTCTTTTACACGGAAAAAATGGGTCTTACGATTTTTGTAGCGTGGGTTGTTCACAGCAAATCCTAAAATATTCGTTATAGTGAATTATATTACAATAAACATTAGATTTTACGACTTCAAAGGTAGGTTATCTATTCTATAAGATTACATATCAAGAAAGAACACAATTTATGGGTGTTCACAAAATACATAATATGTTTAACTATAAAAAAGCATGGGTTATACAATTTTAAGGATGGGTTATTTATAACACATTTACATTTAATAAATTCAATGCAAGGGTTTTCATAAAAATATTTATTACAAGGAAAACTGTGCGGTCTTACGATTTTTAAGGGTGGGTTATTCGTAGTATTACATATCAATAAATAACATTACAAAGGCATTCATAACACGATATTTATACATGTTTAACACTGAAAACTTGATGGCTCTTTAAGGATGGGTATTTCATAACATTGCATAAAATTATCAATAACTAACAGTACCAAGGTGTTTATGACAAAATCTCTAACAATCTATAACAAGAATATGTTGGGTCTTGCGAATTTTCAGCGTTTGCTTTTCATTATTATACCAAATGATACAAAACAATACAAGGGTCTTCAAAACAAAATACACTCTATGACAAGAAGAACTTTGGACTTACGATTTTCAGTGCTGGGTGATCATCCAGCATGTACTCAAAATTCACTTGCTTTCCAAAATGGTGGATCTGTCGTAACCTCACGGATGTCCATATAAACGTTCTGCTTGCACACTTTGGCATGCGCACGAACATGACAGTCCTATTCTGAAATAAAAGCAAAAATGACCCAACATTAGAGTCAATGATAATAATATGTGTATGTTTTGTTTTGTAAAGCATTATGTTATCACAATATCCTGATCTGAATGACCAATCTCATTTTAATCTGATAACAAATGTTTGGACACCGTCATGTCTATCTTTGCGGATCGAAATACGTTTGGGAACAGGAATGACCCAACAAATATTATTCGGTCTTTGTAAAATCAAATTTGTTTCATAGGTATTATTAAGGATTGGTTAACATTTTGTTATTTTAAAAAAAATCAATGATATGTTTCACAAATTAAACACATGCGTCTTCCTGTTTAAACAAAAATAATGTTGCCAATTTGTCAACCTTTTTTCAAATTAGCGGGTGCAAATGTGATATCGATTGGAAACGAGTTGGGCGTTTCGGTTGTTTGTTGAGTTTACCACCCGCCCCCCCCCCCCCCCCCCCCCCCCCACTCCGAGAACGGACGGACCCCATGCGTGTTGCCAAAATGTCCTTTTCGTAACAAAAGAAAAAGGTCGACCCGTATTGACTTTACACACCGGACTTTTGCTGAAAGGGGGGGGGGGGCTGAAAAAGGCTCGTATACAAAAGAAAAAGGTCGAGCCGTATTGACTTTACACACCGGACTTTTGCTGAAAAGGGGGGTCGGTTGGAACACGCATATGCGTACCCTAAATAACACTTAGTGGGGGGGGGGGCCGGGGTTTACCATCAACACAAATTGTTTTAAAAATCTTATCAATACCTTATTTCAACTGATTTATAATGTCTTTTTATGGTTTGAACCCATTTGATAATTAGTTCTTGTACCTTTTAAATAATATTTTAATGCCGTTTTGCGTTTTTTTTTTTTTTTTTTGTCTATCGTTTGTTTCATATACATATACACATTTCTCTCTTTTTTGTAATGGAGTTTGTCATTGATAGCCCTGTGGCCTTAATTTACAAATCCCAAGATATTTGAATTTGGTTGTGTTTGATTATACTTGTTTGTTTTTTTCTCTTTCACTGTATATTTTATTGCCATTGTGATTGTTCTTCTTATTCAAATATAAAAATACAATGAATTGAAATGAATTGAATTGAATTAAAAAAGCCAATTTCAGTCTAATAGTATGACCAAATCCAGAGTAAAAGGTACAAACATGTATAAGACATGTGCATGCCTGAGAGAGTACCGTTAGTATTACTTGCGAGAGCTACCGGTACTTATCCACCTTTGTAAGCAGTACGTACATGCATTACAAATATAGAACTTGAAAGCTAAACATTTTCTGGTTTTGCTATATTGTCACTGAGAAAATGATTGTGGTTAGCCATAACCTTACCTTGCCATACACTGGCTTGCCATTGACAGATTGCTTGCTTTCAACAGTATCTCTCTCATCATCAAAACAGTCATATATCAGGCCATCGTTGACGCGATCATTGTCGTCTTCGATCACCGTCTCGTTGGAGATGGCTGGTTGTACATTCAGGTTTATCCGTGGTCGATCTGGTACTGGTACTGGTAATTGTTGTATTGGATATGGCTTTCGTTGTGTAAGTTGTAAGACTTGTTCTGATGTATTGAATACCTTGTCCACGAACGATATACGTACATGTTCTGCACTTGTGACTATAAAGATGAAATGATAAACATATACTTCATTTATCTACTGAAAATTATACTTACATATGTAATGAGTATGATATATAAGCAATCGAAATTGACACAAAATAATTTTTAAATGCATAGTAATTCAAAAAGGCGTAAATCCAACCTGTATAAAACAATAAGGGAGTTTACAGATAGCACATTGTACAAATGACCCCAAATATCCACAGATTTTGTACGGATGGAGAAATTCCACTTTGAGCATCTTAGAATAAAAACTGCCAAAGTCCTAGATGTGCTTCATGAATACCTTTTGTTTGCCCTCTTGAAAAGAATACTTCCACCTGCGTATCATAGAATGTTGGTGCATAAAATGAATAATGTTACATAACTTTCATGAGCGCATATCCAGTATTCATCTCTGTGGGTTTTACCATTTTGGTACAAATGACCTTTATCTGCCCATGCGCAGATTGTATCTATGAACTGGCTTATACATTGTAAATATAAGGAGATGTGAATTGGTCTAGCGGTACATTCACTTGGTCAGCTCTCTGTCTTCGCCTACAAACTGGCTCAGACGACCCCTGTTCGAAACTTAATCACGTCTTTCGGATGGTGACGTCAAAGATCGCTCCCCAGATGTAAATCATCATCTCATTGAAACACGTCTGTAAAAACCCGATTTTTCTTCGTGATCTTTTTTCGATTCCATTCAACATGAATATTGTCTTGAATATGTGAATTATAAAAAACATGATTATACGAGAACGGATATATGTAAATGAAATTTCATCACAGATATGCTTTAGTCAATTAATACATAACAAAATATCATTTGATATTGATAATAATAAAATTCAATAATACGAACAATATGCAAACATTATATTGTACAAAGACTAATTGCACATATACATAGGAACAGGAGAGAATACTAAATAATATTGAAAGAAAGGGGAATGAAAGGGAGAGTAAAGGGACAACTGGTGATTAGAAAAGCAATTGATTTAGTTAGATTATTACACATATTCGTAAAAGTAAGTGTCAGATTACACAGAGCGTTATACACATTGGCCCGAATTCACAAAGCAAGGTTTGAGCTCAGACCAAGGTTTGAGCTCAAACCTCCTTTTGTTTCGCCAAACCTCCTTTTGTTCTTTACAAACCAGGTTTGTAAAAAACGCGTAAAACGCGTCATATGACGTACGAAAACCAAGGTTTGTCGACAAACCTCCTTTGTGAATTCGGGCCTACGTGGATCCAAAGTGACTGATTTTATGAGAGTATTATGCACAAAGGCATAATAAGCTCGTATATTTGTCAGTATATTATCTATCATTGTGCGGGTCTGCGGAAGTATGTTTGGCGTAGGTTTATAAATATTTCAATGATGTAGTCGAATAAAATAGGATTTAGTTTCTATTCAGCTCAAATGCTTTAGCAAACCACTTTTAAATTCAAGTGCAGTTATTGTACTAACTCTCTTTTAAATCAATTTACAAGCCATAATCAAATACATTTGTACACCCAAAACAAATATATTTGGTACGTGGTATTTATTTTTTTAAATTCCATATGGCAGCACACGGGCTGAATAGCATGGCAGTTACAAAGTAAAATTATAAAAACAAAATTCCTTATAAATCTATACGTTCTATACATATATCATAGTCACACAGCAATATGAAGGAGGGAAACAGAGAAAGAGGAAGAGAGAGAGAAAGAGAGAGAGAGAAAGAGAGAGAGAGAAAGAGAGAGAGGGAGAAAGAGAGAGAGAGAGAGAGAGAGAGAGAGAGAGCAAGAGAAGGGGGAAGTGGAGACAGAAAGGAGAGATAAAGAAACAACGATATACAGAAGTGCGACAGTCTACAGGGAGAAGAGATGATATATTACGTAATAAGTGAGTGTATTGATCAAGTAAATAATCCCCTGTTGTGTCACTTGATTTTAATTTACGGTATAACAGAAATGGTTGTCGTAAGCGGCGGTAAACGGAAGGGAAAATATAGGGGAAATGAGGGAAGGGGACAGAATGAAGCGTACAATGTATGTAAGCTTGTATGTTGTTTCATGTTATTACACAACCTCCTCCCTCCACAAATCGCAGTTACCATGGAAGAATCCTGGATCGATGAACAGGCTTAGACCTACAACATCGTGTATTAAAGTAAAGTAAGTAAGTAAAGCTTGCATAATCATCCTCAGGTTCGTAGCAGCCTAAAGTAAATGTCATTATAATGTGTGTTGCATAGTTAGTTAAAATAGTCACGATTTGTAGAATTTATGTAAAAAAGATTGTAATTAATTTTTTTTATAATCCTTTTCTTACCTTGGCCGTCTCTTTCACCGTCGGCTTCGTTCCGAGTTTCCTGCTCATTCCAATAATTGAGTGCCATTGGTCCAATTGCAATGTACACAGCTGAACAGAAAGCTAGCAGCAAAATGAGGACTCGAAATTTACGCATTCCCGCCGCCATGACTACCAAGCGCCACAAGAACTTTCACTTTGATATCATGAAGAATATGTCCACTATTTCTACGGCTCGTGGTATGAGTCTAATGTATTCTTCTTCTTCTTCTTCCAGTATACTACAGACCGCCGTTGGCGTATTATCGTACCTTGTGCTTGTCAAGTGCCGAGTGTACAGTGCAAGTAAAAAGGCTCTACATGAATTCTATTTGCAGCTAAAAACAGTCTGAAGCTCAACGGAGCTTAATGTGTTGCACTTTCTGCTTGAAAAGTTCCAAAGAGGTGCAATCGACGACAGCAGATGTTAAGGAGTTCCACAGTCGGATATTAACTGGGTAGAATGTGGTTTGGAATAGCAGAGTTCGTTATATAATATCCTCTGTACAGAATATATATATATATATATTTCAAGTCGCACCACTAAGACCTGGAAGACCTGGTCAGACCGAGTGTTATGCTAAATGGGGCATTCGCTATAGGTATATCCCTCACAAAGCCAAAGACATGATCACAAAGGTCTTAGGAGTCTTAGGAGAAATGGGTGTGGTATTTGAACAGTTGTAAGTATGTGTGTTTAATACAGTCATTGCTTTCTTTGTTTCTTTCTCACTCTCTTTCACTGAGTCTATATACTTTCTCTCTGTCGCTCCCCTGATCTCTCTTTTCTTCCTCCCTCACCCTCTACCCTCTTAGTTTTTAAATATATGGTCTATATAATTATCTCTTTGTGTGTCTCTACGTGTCTGTCTTGGTCTGACCCCGTCTGACACCCTAACTCATCTCTCTCTCTCTCTCTCTCTCTATCTCTCTCTCTCCCTCTCTCTCTCTCTCTCTCTCACACACACTCACCACACACGCGCACACATTTTCTCTCTTCTTCTCTCTCTCTCTCTCTCTCTCTCTTTCCTATCTCCCTTTCTATCCCCATGTCACATCTAACCCCTCTTCTTTTCTCATTCATCATTCATCTTTTTCTTGTCTTTTTTTCTTTCATTTACCTATCAATTTTCTTTTCAATAATATCTGTTCTACATTATTACTTGGCGAATCAATCTTTAAATTCATTGAACAATTTTTATGTCTATAGATTCAATGTGTACTTGTGGTGCTGTTGTCCTAGTAGGAGACCAGCCTGTAGGTCCCGTGACCAATCTCAGGGAACAAAGGTTTGAAAGTGTTTTTGTGTTCCCTGATGAATACCGAACAATTTTGACTTGGGCTGCCCCCTTGAAAATCCCGGGCATTTTCGTGAGGGGTCAACAAAGGTCACACAGGAATAAAAATTCAAATAGTTCCAATCGTGTCAATATGCATATCAAATTACTCGTCTGGTCATGAGGATTCCAAAAATGTATAGTTTGCTATACGTCCGACCTTAAATGAGGGCGCTATGGTCAAAAACGTTAAAAGGTCAACACACTTTTGACTGGTGGTCAAATTCACCAACACAGTTAATCTTATCCAATTGCATATCAAATTACTCGTCTGGTCATAAGGATTCCAAAAATGTATAGGTTGTTATACCTCCGACCTTAAATGAGGGCGCTTTGGTCAAAAAGGTCAATGCACTTTATAAATTCACCAACACAGTTAACATTGTCCGATTCTAATGATTTTAGTGTCTAATAATATGTTTTCTGACATAACAAATTTAACTAAGCAACTTTTAAAATCAAAAGTGATTGCCATAACCTTGAAATTTCCCCCAAACCCATGGATAAGAAGTTGTTAGATGTTTGTAACCGAAACGGCAGATATTTTGAATGTACATGGTCAAGGTAAGCACTTTTACTTTTGAAAGTTGTATAGTTGAATTTGCCATGTCAGAAAACATATGATTAGACCCTATAATCATTAGGATCGGACAATATTAACTGTGATGGTGAATTTCTAAAGTGCATTGACCTTTTTGACCATAGCGCCCTCATTAAAGGTCGGAGGTATATCAAACTATACATTTTTGGAATCCTTATGACCAGACGAGTAATTTGATATGCAATTGGATAAGATTAACTGTGTTGGTGAATTTGACCACCAGCCAAAAGTGTGTTGACCTTTCAACATTTTTTACCATAGCGCCCTCATTTAAGGTCGGACGTATAGCAAACTATACATTTTTGGAATCCTCATGACCAGACGAGTAATTTGATATGCATATTGACACGATTGGTACTATTTGAATTTTTATTCCTGTGTGACCTTTGTTGACCCCTCACGAAAATGCCCGGGATTTTCAAGGGGGCAGCCCAAGTCAAAATTGTTCGGTATTCATCAGGGAACACAAAAACACTTTCAAACATTTGTTCCCTGAGATTGGTCACGGGACCTACAGGCTGGTCTCCTACTATCCCTGCTTTATTTCGTGTAAGGACATTGCTTCACTTAATGGCTGCTGGGACAACAGCACCACTGCGCCTAGAAACAATGTATTAGGCGCGTTATAAATGTGATCTATTATTATTATTATAATGTGTTGTAGTCTTTATAGCTGCTATTTTAAATGTTTTTGTTTTCGTTTATAAACCATATCAATTCAATCTTTCTCTCTCTCTCTCTCTCTCTCTCCCTCTCTCCCCTCTCTCTCTCCCCTCTACTCTTTTATTGTTGAGTTTGTTTTGTGAATCCCTATTAATTGAAAAGAAGATGCACTTCTAACGAACACATCTTGTTCAAAAGTCCTTCTTAAATAACTAAAACGGCATTTATCAAGAGGAGTTTGTTGACAGTAAAAACCTATCCCATTTATGTTCACATTTCTTTTTCCCATACCTGTTGCTAGTAGCTACGCCAGGGCATTGTTAGCTAAAGCCTGCATGATCTACCAATACTGTCTAGGATTACTTGGTTTCGCAAGGTAATTCAACACAGAATATAAAGCCTGTCACGTTAAGAATAATAGTTGTTGTTCATGCTTTCGGCTGCGCTTCGAAATGTTACCCCCAAATGTTACGAGTTTTCTGGAATCGTTATCGGCTTTTTGTTGTAGAAAATTCTAGGGTCTATGCTAAGTCCACATTATCCACGTGCATCTGACTAATTTACTTTATTTTAGAATTTCTCTATTTTTTCTTCATTTTCCGAAGGAGCATAACAAAAAATGTCCAAATGTCGAAAACCAATTGAATATGTTAAGTATTGGCTGAGATATGACCATCTGATTAAATAGACGCCCCATAGGAGCTCAGTGTTATATGCGCTGGCTCCTATAACCACTAGGAGCCAGAGCATATAACACTGAGTTCCCATAGGACATATTTTTATTCAGATGGTCATATCTCAGCCAATACTTAAAACATTCAACTGGTTTTCGACATTTGGACATTATTTTTTATGCTCTTTCGGAAAATGAAGAAAAAAATTGAGAAATTCTAAAAATAGATTTGTATGACGTCACAGCTTGTGTACTCTATGCTCACTCGTTTATCATAATGTAAAGTAAGAATAACGTATGCTGTGGACACAAGTGGCTACGGTGACATGCCATTTACAGACATTGCATTTATTGCATTGATAATGAAAAACTCCAAAGGAGCTGTCATTCGTAGATTTATCCTTTTATAATCAAATGTTTCAACACATCATATTCTGAGTGAGAATAATACATGAAAACAACACATTGTCCACGGAGAGACAGAAGGGGCATTAGCTCAGATGATGTAACACAGAGTTAACGCCTTTCTGGCTTTCAACAAACGACATTTTAAACAAGTAATCATTCCAGATGGATTCGTTGCCATGATCAATTCTTTTTCCCACTTTTCATGTTTTTAACTTCTTATTCTCATACTGCTATTTTTTTAAATTCTGCCTCAAATTGTTTCCAATACGTTTTATTCTAACAAGAATTCTTATTAAAGTTGCAGTTTTTCAACAACCATTAATTCATGCTGGCACATTCTTTCACGTTGCCAGCAGAAAATGAGCCTGGATTCAATAAATGTATTAAATTAATTAATTTGGATTAACAATTTTGTAAACAATCACATTTCACGAGATTCACTTGGTCCCAGCTCATACTATGACGTTTTGAAGTAATATTTGTACGGAGATTTTTTTTTGTATTTTAATGAAGTTACAGTGGCTACTATAATCCTTTAGTGGTTATAATAATGTTAATGATATACAAAACGTATTGTTATTTCTATATAGTTATGATAGTCATAAAGTGGTATTTCGAATTTGATTACTACTTTAAGTTATATATTGACTTATACACATTACGCGAAGCAGAAAATGACGAATAAATTCAATGATAAAAAAATTAATAAAAAAACAAATGTTTGCTACTTCACGTCGAAAATACGACAAACAAACTCTTTGAATTGTGTAATAGGTTCCCTATTATATAACCAAAAGTAAATCTGACCTGTTTCCTTTTTCTACTTTGTTCCAGAAACCTTGCCCACACGCATTTTTAGTTCTGCTTAAGATATTTTGTTGGTCCAGTAAGTTTATTGAGAGTTGAACATTAAAAATATTGAGAGAATAACACAACAAAAATAAAGATATTTCACCGACAGAAGTGTAACATTACTCAGCAATGAATGTACTGCGAGGTATGTAATGCAACTGGAACGCAACATGCTTAATTTAGTTTCAAACAGAAAATGATTATACAGCCATAACTGCATATTGAACGATGTGCAATTGGGTAATCCGGTTAGTACCGAAACTCCAGATAACTTGAAGAAGGACAGGTAACCAATCAACAAAATATAATTATAATACAATCAAACCTGTCTATAAAGACCACCCAAGGGAGACAAGAAAAGTGGTCTTTATAGGCAGGTGGTGTTTTTGTACAGGTTCATTCAGTACATGTTTCAATGAGAAAAGATGTGGTCTTTGTAGACAGGTGGTCGCTAAAGCAGGTTTGACTGTACAAGGAATCAACATCAGCTGAAAGCAGAGGTCATCAATCTAGACAATGAAGCCCAGCTCCCTGAGGATGTAGTCCCCGATGGCGCGAACGCCAGCGTAGATCTCTTCTCCAACCGGTTGGATCTGGTTCTCGGGCAGCAGGAACCCGTACTCGCCCTTGTCACGGAGTTCCACGGTGTAGGAGTACTTGGCCCCGAGTCCACCCTTAAACTTGCTGGTGGGGTCGTAGGGCACGTACCCCCAGTCCTTACTGGACCCGGCCGCCTCGTCTGAAAGAAAGGGCAGGGTACGGAAAATTATGTTATTCTGTAAAGCCCATCTGTACTAGTTTACAGGAGGGATTAGACTACCCTGCAAGGTCACTGACATGCAGGTGGCTATCTTATCACCTCAGCTCTCAATTAACATAAGAAAAAGAGGACCATGGGAGACAAACGGGCACCGCTTAGGCATTGTTTTCTATATAGAGGGAGCAAGTAGCACAGTTGGGCTTTAAGTATTGATAATAATAATGAAGGCCTACAATACGTCGTATAATGATGTTCTTACCATAACTTGTTTATTTGTAATTCCCAACACATGATTTGCATAACGGGTTTTTCACCTCTGTATATTTTCTAAATTATTTACTTCACTGCAATCTATGTTTACCATTTTGTAATGATTATAAGAAGAAAACAAATTAGACTTTAAATTGAATGAACATAGAAAGAGAGAGAGAGAGAGAGAGAGAGAGAGAGGGGGGGGTGGGGGAGAAATGATGGAGGAAAACAAATCGATGTTATGGTATGAAATGCCTGCCCTACAGCCTACTCACTGAGAAGCTCAATAGAAGAACCGCTCTGGAACACAGTTCCGTGCACATCAAATATGGCGTCACTAGCAGCATTGCCC